TGATGACCTTGAGGAAGCACACTGCTTGGTTGTGAGGGTCACATCGCAAGAGAGCTGTCAACCCAGGAGCAGGGACCTCAGTCCTACACCCGCAGGAACCTATGAGTTGGAAGAGGAATCTGAACTCCAGCTAGGAGCACAGAGCAAAGGACAGGTTATCACATGTTGGAGAACAAGACACAGATTGTAAAGGAAGTAAATAAAAGTAGACGGCCTCTGAAGCAATCGTGGACAGCTAGAATTGAGGACTGCAACTGAGGGCAAGAGGACATTTTCCCTGACTTCTAACCCGATCCTCCTATGACAGTACTTCACCCAGAACTTCCTTTCTCTGATTCCGTGTGTGTGTGTGTGTGTGTGTGTGTGTGTGTGTGTGTGTGTGTGTGTGTCTTTCTGCTCACCTGTTTCTGTCAGACACTTTACTTGTCATTATTAATCCAATTCTCCCAACACCTGCTTTAGAGATTATAATAACCATCTTACAAACAAAACCTAAACTTCCGAAAGGTCAGTAACTTGCTAAAATCATGTAGCTACTATAGGTTAGACCAAGGACTCCAGGCTGATGATGAAGAAAACTTAGGCCTTTCTTCACCCTGACGCCCAGCCTTTGCAGGAAGCCCTCCTCCCTGTACTTGAGTCTCAGTTTTGGTCTTGCCTTTTGCCACCGGAACCTTTGACTAAGTTCTGGGTGTGAGCTGGCCTTGCTGTCCATTCCTTGTGCCCCTCCCCACTGTTGCCAAAGGTATTTTTGGTTTTGATTCGTAAGCCTACGCACAACAATGCCATAGCCGCTGCTCTCTCCAGTTCAATGCGACGATGCGGTGGAGAGAGGCTACAGGGCAATTGCTGCCAGCAGATTTGTAGAGCTGTGAAGCGTTGCCTGGGAAACAAGGAATTTGTGTGCAGCTTTGTTGTGAGGAGGCAGGGCTGGCCCTGGCCGGCAACTTCTGAACAAGAGGCAGATTAACTAGCTCCCAGGGTTCACAGCAAGCTTTTTGAAGCTTGGACAGTGAGGAATGGCCCTCTCCAAGGACCCTTTTTTTTCTTCTTCCTTTTCTTTCTAAAGTTTCCTTAGGTGGCCTTACTCTGAGTGGCTTCTGAGAAACAGCAACTAGAAAGTGGAGATGGAGTCAGAAGGCACCCCCTCCCCTTCCTAGGCCCTTCACCTTCAACAGTGGCTTTGCTGCCTGGATATTTCTCTCTATATGATGAGACACTTAGAGCAAAGGGTTTCTGTGGAGATGTCCACAGTATATCTCCAATAGTTGCAGGACTTGTTTGGAGAAATATGTGATCCTGGGGGCACCCACGGGTTCTGTGTAAATTTTGAGAGACTGAGAGGAGTTGCTATCATTTCTGTCCTGGAAACTGAAAACACATCAAAGCCTTTTGTGCTGAGAGTAAATATTTGATTTCTGAATAGAATTCTCATCCCCTCAGAAACCCAGAGGAACTCGGGCTTGAGGCTATGGTTGCTAAACGTGCCCTATTCAGCAGCTCTCCAGAGGGACAAAGGGAAGAAATTAATTGGCCTTAAAGAGTTGGAGAGAGCCAGGCAGCTTTTGCTGACCTACTTAAGATGTGAGGACATTGTAGGGGGCATCTTTGGAGCTCCGCTCTTGTAAGGCATTGGTGTTGGCGATAAACAGGCTGGGAAATCATGGGGAAGCCACGGATGATGCCCCTCTCCTCAAAAGCACCATTGTTTCCCTTCTCTGAGGTCCTCAGATGGTGTCCACCCACCGACAGCATCCCAGGCAAGGATTCATTCTCACACACACACCCCTTCTCACCCGCCTCCCAAAGAGGGGGGCACAGAAATGAAAATCAGCTGGCCAGCATCCAATAACTGCCTACTGTGTGAAGAGAACTCTGTGTTCTAAACATTAAGAATGATGGACCATGGGAGTGGGGGGCTGAGGGGGTGGGGCACCTTCAAAAGCAATAGCTGGCCTGGGGCTGGGGCTCAGTGGTAGAGCATGTGCTTAGCCTGCACAAGGCCTGGGATCAGTCCCAGCACCAAAAAAACAAAATAAGTAATAGTTGGCACTATCCCTATTTAGGAGCTTAAATATAGTTAGGGAAGTTGCATCTAAACCTCTGGTAGGTATTAGGTTTGAATTGCCCTTTACAAATTATTCTTAAGTTGTTTTTTTTTAAATAGTGTCTCCTTCAGTAACTTTCGCCTCAAACTTACTATGTAGCTGAGAAAAATCTTCCATGTCTTGATCCCCCTGCCTCCACCCTTCTGAGAGCTAGGATTATGATTGCCTCCTTTTTTTTTGTTTTGTTTTGTTTTGTTTTTTGTTTTTTTGTTTTTGTGAGGCTGGGAATCAAACCCAGGATTTCATGCACGCTAGGCAAGCATTCTAGCAACAGCTCTCAGCCAGGTCCGGGAGTAAACAGTGGGTAAAAAGAAAGCAAGGGCTTTCAGGAAGTGCAGAGCTGGCTCGGAAGTTAAGAACGCTCCCATGATTCCAGAGGACCTGAGTTTGGTTCCCAACACCCATTCCACTGGGCTGCTCACAACGTCCTTGCCACAGTCAGGCTGGACTATCTGGAAACTAAGAAATGTGATTTGTTAAGAACTTTTGCTTGGGTAGGCATAGTGGTACACACCTTTAATCCCAGCACTGGAAAGCAGAGGCAGGAAGAGCTCTAAGTTTGAGGTTAGCCTGGTCTATGTAGTAAGTTCAAGGACACCCAGAGATACACTATTAGACCTTGTCTCAAAACAAAAACAACATAAGGCCCTTTGGTCATCAATGGTAGAAATTCACATTGAATTATTAGCAGGGAAAAAAAGTGTGATTTCTTGTGTTCTGTAACAAAAGTAGGGTGGAGGCTGGAAATGAGTGGCTCAAGCACCATCACGTCAACCATTTGCTGATGGTGTCAGCTTCATTTCTCAGACATTCTTAGACTTTTTTATGGGGCCATAGTTGCTAGATGCTCTACAATATGAACACAATTCACTATAACTTCCTGAACTAATGGGATGGTTCTGTATTGCCAGTGTCAAGTACGGTAGAGGTTAGTGCTATGTGGCTAATAGGGCTAAGAAAACAAATGGTGAATTTCATCTAATTAATTAATTTACAATTTTGTGACAGGGTCTTGCTACACAGCTCAGGCTGGCCTTGAACTCAATAGGTAACTTGGGCTAGTTTCAAACTTAAGGTGCTTTTCCTGCTTCAGCTTTCTCAGTGCTGGGATTGCAGGTATGCACCATCGTAATGGGCTTTACTTTTAAATTAATCTAAATTTAGATAGCTGACCAAAAGACTCATATGGGGTGTCTTATAACTTCCAGTAATTCCAGCTCTAGAGGACCTGAAGCCTTCCTCTGACTTCCACAGCCATCTGCTCACACATGGCCACATATGCATAGACATACAGATGTGTAAATAGAAATAAACCTACATTTAGGTAGTCACATGCCAGAGTCTGGCCAGTATCAGTCCTACCATGCAGGGACCATCTATTCTGGACTGATGTCTTTAGGGCTGTGTTCGGAACCAGCCAAATAGCCCTGGGTCTGACCCTGAGTGGGGAAGTATGGATCAGGGAAGTCTTAGCTACCCAGCGGCGCTAAGGACGAGACAGACATCTTGTCATTTCAGGAGGGCTCTCAGTCCATACTGGAGACCATAGTTTGGTCAAGCATCCTCTTAAAAAGCTTTCCAAAAGCGGGGGGGGTACTAGAAGAAGACATCTATTATCATGTATATAGGACTGACTAGGAAAAACTTTAACCTTAGAGATGGTCCTAGAATGCATGTACACAAGCCCTCAGACTTTCTGTAATGGCACATCTCAACAATCTGCAGACACATCCCACTAGTCTCCAGGCTTGTCCCACTAGCCCTCATGATGGGCATGTGGCCTAGGTCTATTGTTACACAAACTAGAAGTCATTCTCCACTGTGGCCAGGCCATCCGGAGGTAACCAGCAGATATCTAAAAGACAATAGGAGATTCGAGCTCCTGGAGTTGAGCTGAGGCCTATAACAGAAATATCATATTCGGGTCCCCGACCGTCACATGCTGCTAGTGGTTGGCATGTGGGACAGCGCAGAGCTTATCCAGAGAAAAGTATCTTTGTGGAGCTAGAAAACAAATAATAAAAAATACTATTTGTATTATTAATAAATTACTCTTTTTGTACTTAGAAAGTTTAGCATTGGGCTAATCTTATTAGAAGTCCCATATCTCACATCAGCAGAAGGGAGAGGCTGAGGAGCAAACAGTTGAAGGTATTACAGTACTCCCAAATTGTGACAAGTCTTTCCTGGACAAGGATCTGGGCCTTCCATATCTTGTCTGTCTTAAATATATATTTGGAAATACGGTGAGACACTGAGGTCCCTATCTTCTTCTGTATCCATGGTAAAATTAGAGAATATTTTGCAAAAAGCACTGGAGCAGATGCTGTTGAGAAAAAAACAGGTGCCATTTGTGGTGTATTTACACTAAAATGCTATTGCGAAAACCCTGTCTGCCCAAAGCAGGACTCTTCTATATCTTCTAGTTAGAAAGATTAGATTACTTCTGGAGATGATAAGGGAGGAAGAAGAACAAAGATGGATAGTACTATGGTCTGTTTTTAGGACATTCACCAGAACATTGGCTAGCTGTGGGGAACCCTGCTCAAACTTGGGGAGGAATTCAAAGTGGGTATGATTCAGCTGCCTGGGGTTGGGTTCCTAACACTTTGTTCCTCTAGGAGTTGGGTTAGGAGGTTTATTACTGTTACAGAGATTCTCCTTGGCTTACACTCTGAGGGCTTAACATGTGACAAAGTTTTTTATGTTGTTACAAGTATGATTCAGCTAGTCACAAACAGGAGAGTAGTGACCAAATAGCAAACTGCTCCCTGGTATTGAACAAACAATTGGTTCTGTGTTGGGTGGACTGCTGCCAAGAACACAGAGACTTGGGACTTTGTGCAGACATGATCAGGGATTCCCACCCACAGAAAAAGGATTATCCAACTCTGCTGAGGGCTGCTCCAGAGCTGGGACTCCACGTTATGTTGCCAGCAAGACTTGATATTTTAAACTTCTGAAGATGGACTTTTCTAAATCAACAGTTCCCTTTCTGAGCAATCAATTCCAGCCAGGCGAATATTTGCAGAACAGGTTAGAAAATGAGCTGCATCTCTGATGTGAATTCTCTGGATTTATGAGTATGGGTTCTTAGAAACCCTCTGACCTGGCTTTCAATGGAACATAAAGAATTTGAGGTAAATGTTTGGAGAGAACATGGAGCCATCTAACCATACCTTTTCCAAATATTATAGCATGTGCTTACCAGCCTGCAAGTGTGTGTATGTGTAAACTTAATCTTGTCTTTGTCTACAAGTAGTGGCTGTGTTCTTTCCATTATCCAACTGGGTGGGGGTAGGATGGTTTCTTTCTTGCTATTCAGTGTTATTTCGTACCAATCCCTTGCCTTTTCTTACCCTCAACTCTAATTTTAAATCTCGTATCATGTGACTATAGCATTTACTGCTTTCCAACTTGTATCCATCTACTAATCTGCAGATATTTTCCTGAAATGCCTCAAAGATTGGTAATCCTGGCAGTGGCCAACCTGATTTTTTTTTGTCATATTTTTCAGTGATTTTAGTCTTCTCTTGGATAATTTGTCCAGTGTTCTTATTCTTTGCTTCATCTCATTTAATGCAAAGGTTGTTTTGCCTGCATGCATATTTGTTTACTATGAATGTATCTGATGCTCACAGAGGCAAGAAGAAGGTGTCTGATACCCTGGAAGATTTATTTTCTTGTTTCCAGAGTTAGGGATCAGAGACTATATCTAGGTTGCCCTAACAAATTGGTCTTGACCACGTGTCTTTGATTAGCCAATTAAAAATGAAAAGCAGAAAATTGCTGGATGGCAGTGGTGTATGCCTTTAACCCCAGCATTCAGGAGAGAGAGGCTTTGTGAATTTGAGACCAGCCTGGTCTGCAGAGCAAGTCCCAGGACAGCCAAGGCTACACAGAGAAGCCCTGTCTTGAAAAAACAAAACCCAACAAACAACAAGCAAATGAAAGGAAAGCAGAAAAATGATTTATTCAGTGTGATCATATTGGAAAGAGACAAAGAGATCCATCTTTCAGGGGTTCAAACATGAGGATAAAGTTTTAAACAGAAGGCAGAATTAAGCAATTCTGGTCAGGGTGTGGTTATTGACCCATTGTTGTTTCAGGTCCTGTCTCCTGCAAGGTAGTCTGACAAGTTATTGGCACTCTGTGAAATCTCTTTCTGAATTCTGGGAATCAAGTCCCCTGATGGCTGGCACCAGGCTTCAGTCTTTTCCTTCTCCAATCTTGAGATTCTTGGGGGAAAGTCCAATTCCCCAGGGCTACTTTATTTCAACAGTCCAGGCAGTCATAGTTAGGGACACAAACGTCTCTTTAGAATATCCTCATCCTTCCCAGGCATCTGTCTATACACATTGACTAGTGAGTCATGAATTGGAATCTATAGGTTAATAACTCTCAGATTTCCCATTAGTTCAGAACTCTCCTTCAAGGTACTTTTATCCTATTTTGTTCTTTGATGTTGATTACTTGGCTAAAATTTTGCTCTCAATTCCTGATCTTCTCCCATCCCAGCCCTGCTCCTTCACTGTCTTCCCCACGTCAGTAAAAAGCAATCCCATCCTGTAGACTCAAGAGAAAACCCTAGTTTTCCTTGACGGCTCACTCTGTCACACACATGACACAAACTTTATAGCTAAACATTCAACATGTCCTGAAAATCTTACTTCCCAAATATATTCAAATGCTTTTCTCACCATTTCCACACTGCATCTGTGGGCAAAGGCGTCATAAATCTCTAAGGGAGCCATTGCAATCCTAACCAGTCTTTCCTCCCTCACTTCCACTCCTAATTCTCAAAATGGCATACAGAATGACTTTTTAACACTTCAAGACAAATTGGCACTTATTAGCTCGCAGTCCGGTAACGGTGCCCTATCTCAGCACATTAGAGCGTTTATTGCCCCGGCCCGTGGGGTCAGTCAACGGGGACCCTAGGAGAGGGAGTGAGAATGGGGGGGGGAGGAAGAGACACGAGATGGAGACAAGACAGGATTCTGATCAAGTCTCATTGATTAAAAGTATCAACAGAGCTTAAATAGGGCAGGTGGCAGAAGGGAGGGGGAGCAGAAGTTCTCCTTGGCAGGATGTGTTGCAAGGACACACGTCTGCGGCTGGAGGAGCCTGGACTGCAGGCCTTGAAAATATGCTGTACAGGAGATAAGCAGACACGGAGAAATAGAAACTTAACTGTGTTAGTCTCTAAGAATACGCTAGGAATATTAAGATGGCTTTTATTATGCTATCCTTATTTAGGGTCCTCCACGGCTTAACATGCTCTTTATGGTTTGTCATGCTTATCTTGGCTCTTCTCCTTTCATCCTTCTCTGGCCATACTAGCTGCCTTTGCTTTTCTCCACCAGCCAGTGTTCACTCTCTACCTGAAACCTGTGTGTGTGTGTGTGTGTGTGTGTGTGTGTGTGTGTGTGTGTGTGTGTGTGTGAGGCCAGAAGAGGACATTGGATCCACCGAGCTGGAATTATAGGAGGTTGTGAGCACATTGGTGCCCGGATCTGAATTTTGGTTCTCTGGAAGAGTAGGAAGCACTCTTAACCATGGAGCCATCCATCTCTCTAGCTCCTACCTGGAATATTCTTATACCTGGGTTCAATGATGTTGCAAGCCTGTTATTCCAGCCCTTGGGATGCTGAGACAAGAGGAGCCTTAACTACCTAGGAGATCTCGTTAAAATGTATTAAACAATCAACTAAATGCCTAAAACTTTCCCTCAAAGATTATTATGGCTTGTTCTATGGTCTCATATCGTCTCTGCTTGAAAGTGCTTAGTTAAAAAAAAATTAGCAGGGGCTACAGTTCTTGACTAGCATGTATGGGGCTGTGGGTTTAATTTCCAGTACTGAGTAAATCTAAACAAAAACAAAACACAAAGAATAACCTCAAGTGCTTTAGTGTATCCTTTTCTGTTCTGTCCTGTCTATGTGCCTTCACTGTTGAAGACATGCTGAAGTGGAGCCTGGTGACACATGCCTGAAACGTGAGCCATTGGGAAGGCTAGGGCAGGACTGGAAGTCCAAGGCCTGGGCTACAGTGAGTTTGAGACCAGCAATCCCCCTCCAGTAAACCTTGGCAAAAAGGAGCAGTGTGGTTTTTGTTGGCTTAATCTGTATTTTGAGGATGCCCTGGCAGGATGTTCTAATGCTGTGATCTTTTAATACGGTTTCCCTTGTGTGGTGACCCCCCGCCCCAAACGTAAAATCATTTCATTGCCACTTCATAACTGTAATTTTGCTAGTTAGAATTGTAATGTGAGTATCTGATATGAAGGATATCGGATATACGGTGGGGCCATGGACCACAGATTGAGAACCACTGTTAACTTTTCTGGCGCTTTCTTCAACTGAGAACGCTTGCCCACCGGCACATCATGCCAGTCACCCCTCTTGGAGATTTGAGATGACAAAGTCAGGCGGTGATGGTGCACACCTTTAATCCCAGCACTCCCGAGGCAGAGGCAGGCGGATCTGAGTTCAAGGCCAGCCTGCTCTACAAAAAAAAGAGTTCCAGAACAGCCAGGGCTACACAGAGAAAACCTATCTCCAAAGGTGAAGGACGGTAAAAATTGAGATGATTACAGCGCGAAGGCCCACGGAGTGGAAAAGCCTCAACTGAGCATCGGTCTCGCCAACCTGCTCTAGCCCTCCCATCCAAAGGGCAGGAAACGGAAGTGACGGAACGCCCAGCGCCTGGATCCCCGCCCCTTTCACCCTCGCAGCCCGGAGAGCGGACACGAACCCGGAAGGGGCAGGGCGGGCGTCCGACGCGGAGTGGCTGTTTGCTGTCCTGGCTTTCCGTAGCAGCCCGCGGAGTTTGAGTGTGAGGAGGTCCGGGTCGCGGCAGGCAGGCTCCAGGCTTCACAGGTTCCCCTGCCCAACTGCCCGAGTTTCACAGGGTCCCCCGCCCTCCTGCACCGGCCCTGGCGGCGCCGCGCCTCTTCGCCGCAGCGGGTCATCCTCTCAGCCCCAAGTCCTGTCCCTACCGCCCATCTGTGCTCACCGCTGGGCAGTTTTCCATCTCCCAAGCCAGTCCTCGTTTCTCCTCCCCTTCTTCCCCATTCCTCCCAGAAAGTAAGTTTCATACCGTTTTCCCCTGTCTTGCCCCTCTCTTTCCTTTCTCCTGACCAGAAGTCTGATGCCCAGAGGTATGGCGCCCCTCAAGAAGCCTCGGAATCCCACAAAATTGCCCCTGGCTTTAAACCCCACGAAGAGCAAGGACGTTTTGGCAGTGCTGGCTGAGAGGAACCAGACCATAGTACCAGTTGGGGCATGGGTGGAACCCGCCCCACCAAATTGCTCGGAAATCCCAGCACATGTGAGTGTCAGTTGGTCCGGATACAGTGATCCCTGCCCGCCTTTTTAAAATTTGCTTTCTCAGTTTGTGGTGCATAGAGATGAACAGTTGAAGGACGCTGTTTCTAGTCTGTTGCAGATTATATTCTTGCATAGGAATTATACAATCATGATGTATTTCCCAAAACTTGCCTCATCTTTTGTTGGCACAATCAAACATTGTTTAAATACTTATTACTCACTTAACTATACAGTGCATAATTCGTGGACCAGTCAATAGGCTAGTTCATTTCACAAACTTGATTGTTGGCTGTGTAACACATAGGTACTGAGTACATCTTCCACACACTTGAACATAATGTGACAGTTGGTCACACTTTAAATGTTAATTGCTTGCTCGGCGTTTATAAGCTTTAAAATGAAGATCAAGGCAGAATGAAGTAAGAAAAGAGAAGAGAGTTTAATCCTGACAGAAACTCTGAGAAAGTTGTAGATTGCACGAGGACAAGGAAATTTCTTGTCTGTTCCTCTTGTGGTATAAAGTGGGCCTTTTGGGAATTATTTGTTGACTGAATTAGGAAATTTGGTCCTTGTTGACCCTGAAAGAATAGACTCCTAGTGACTGCAGACAGGAAGCCTTTGGACAAAGGGACGCCCTTTCAAAAGTTTACACTTGTAAATGTTTGAATGCGTCTCATGCTAGCCCATGAGAGCGGTTGTGCAAGTTTTTTGTTTAGTTTTGTTTAGCGTTTCAACAAATTGTCCCTTAGTCCTTGTACAGCTTTTATTGTGCACAGGGAACAAATCATGTTCCACACCCCCTGTGTTTATGTTAAGCAAATATTGTCTAATATATGCAGATACCCAGGAAGTATGGAATGCAGGAAATCTGCAGTGTTCATACAGACCAGGTACTGAATGTGGGGAAAAATATATTCTTAGTGCTCTTGATTTTAGAGGAGAAACAAGACACATTTAAACATTCTATAAGGGCTGTGGAGATGGCTTAGCAGCTAGAAGTACTTGTGCGAGCCTGATGAACTGAGGTTCTCGTCCTGGGACCCAGGTACAAGCTGGATGGGGTGGTGTGCATTTGTAATCCCCACACTCCTGTATTGAGGTGGAAGGCAGAGACAGGAGAATCTGCCAGAACCTTGTGGGTCACCTAGCCTGGAGTGAAGTAGCCAAGACAAGAGAAACCCTGCCTCAAAACCAGGTGGAGGGACAGAGCCAACTTCTTATAAGTCCTCTGATCTCCACACATGAGATCATACCATGGCATGCACACGTGTATACACTCACAAACAACCACACAGAATAAATTTTAAAAATGATAAACGTGGGGCTGGAGAGAGAGCTCAGCGGTAAGAGCACTGCACTGGCTGCTCTTCCAGACTTTCCAGCACCCATAAGGCAGCAAACAACTGCTTTTAACACCAGTTCCAGAGAATCTAAACTTCTGGTTTCTGGGAGTACTGCAAGCATGGGGTACACAGACATACGTGCTGGCAAAACAGCCATACCGATAGAAGATAAAAATTAGCATTAAGGGCTAGATGTGGTGATACATGCCTTTTATCCCAGCACTTGGGAAGCAGCAGTAGGTGGGTCTCTGTATTTGAGGCTAGTTTGGAAGTTCCAGGTCAGGCATAGTAAGACCTTGTCACAAAGTAGCAAAACAAACCCAAAACATGACTCCTCCCTCAGGTTTAAGGGTTAGGGAGAGATTAGTTTTAGAAGAACAATTAGAATAAATTAAAACAATTTAGGCATGAAGCATATCATCAAAATTTCTTTAGTAGGAGGGGAAAGCCATGAAAAAGGTGAGTGAAATGGGAATCAATAAATAAGAATTTGTACTTTACAACACTTTAATTCCATCTACTTATTTGTGTGTGTGTGTGGTGTGGAGGTCAAAAGACTTGTAGAAATTGACTCTCCTCCCACCACGTGGGTGTTGGTGATGGAATTCTGCTCATCAGAGTCTTTACCTGCTGAGTGATCTCACTGGCCCAATACACCTTAGATACCTTTATAATGTCAGTAGTATCAAACTCAAAATTTGTTATAATAGCACCTTTTTGTTGTTTAAATTAGTTTAATTCTAAGTTTGTCAAGTTCAGAATATTAAAGTCTTGAAACATGGACAGATTGTCTCCTTTCCTCCTTTAAAGTAATTATGTAATCATTTCCAGTCAGAGGGGTTTTGATCAAGATCTGGTAGAACTCTTTATAACATTAGCATGTCTAATCTGGGAATCCATCCTTATTAAGAGGCACAGCACTGTTAATTCAAAGATATGGTGGATGGTTACTTACCTGTTATAAAGAAGAACTTAAAATTCCAAGGGGTCTTTGTGGTTCATAAAAGCCTCATAGCTTCAGAACTTCATTTTTCTTTGGTAATTAAATTATTGGAAGAGTCACTATGGTCTTATCATACCCCCATTTTCTTGTTATATATAAATCATATCAGAACTTAGTGGCATAAAGCAGGTATTGTGTCAGGAGTTTACACAGAGTAAAGTGGCATGTCTTCTAGCTGCCTCAGTGTCCTGGGCCTCAGCTGAGTGGCTTAAGTAACTAGATATGTTTGGGACAGCTTGATGAGTTCTCACTGTTAAAGTTCTTGGTTCTTTGTAGGCTGTCTTGTTCACTAAGGCTTTTTCATATGTGTCATTTGGGCTAGGATGACTAGAATGCCTGGGGGCTGGCTGGATATCTTTCCATGCCATATAACTAGTTTGGCTAACCGTGCTTCCCACTAAAATGGGAGTCTCAGAGTAGTCAGAATTCATTTTTGGCACTGGTTTTCCTCATGGTGAACATTCCAGCACTTCAGTAGAAGTTACTTAATGACCTTGTTGGGGGAAGTCATAGACCTTCTGTTGTTTATACATAGACAGTTAAAATTTAGTGTGAGAAAAGACTACACAATAGTATCACACCAAGAGACTTGGTTTATTTCAGTTAAGATACATCATTTTTGAAGACTAATTTCTGTATAATTTAAGCATTATCCAAAGAAAGGAGTGTTAAAGAATTCCTGCCCTCAGAACTCATAATCTAGTAGGAGAGTTAGTAAGTTATTCATATTAAAATGAAATGTGCTGTAGCATAAGAGCTCAGAGGAAAGTGTGGATAGGCTGAGAAGGCCTTTCCTAGATGCATCAGTGAAAGGGGAGCCACATTAAAAATGGAGTGAAAGGCACTTTGGGAGACAGAGACAGGGATGAGGTCAACTTCCACTGTGTAGTGGGCTGCAGACTAGCTGGGGCTATGATAGTGACATACTCTCCTCCACCCAAAAAGGGGGTGACTAATTCTGAGTATGAAGGCACTGTACATTGGGAATATGTTTGGTGAGTGGTGAGCAAAATGGTACATCTACTGTTTACTAATATTAGAAGCCATAACACAAATGGGTTAAGATCAGTTCACTCAGAATTAATGAAGACATTTTTGGTTTTAGTTGAATAAAACATTAAGATTTGATATGAGTATTCACAAATTCCATTTTTTTTAAAGCTTCTGACTTGCTTTGAGTTCTTGGAACTCAATGGCTACACTTAGGTCAGTGGTTTTGAACTGTGATTTCCTTACTCTTTTGGAGACGGGATTATAGAACCGAGTTTTTGTTCTTCACAATTATATACTAACTTTTCTCCATTCATGATATCCCTCATGGGCAAAAGCGATGGCATTTAAGTTTATTTTTGTCTTTTGTCTTTAAAGACTTCAGCATACATAATCGAAGAGGAAATAAAAGAGCAGCAGCGAAGAAAGCAAGAATCTTTGAAACATTTTCAGAGACAAGTCAGGCGCCGGGTAAATCAGCAAGTTAAGCTGAGGAAAAAGCAACAGCTTCAGAAGTCTTGCACAGTGGTGAGTTTCTAAGTAAGGTGGCTGGAAAGGAAAGCTCGTGTCCCGTGAGATAAGCTGTGCAGCACTATCAGGATCACTTGTCTCTTGATTCTGTGTTGTTAGAATCCAGTTTTCTACTGAGCGCAGTCAGTTTTCACGTGGAGAAACTTTATTCCTGTGTTCTTCCGACTTGCCTTTTTCCCTTTCATTACATACTTGAAAAAGCAAGTCAGGATTTTGGGTGCAGATTTAAGTTTGAATTCCTTCTTTGCCACCTTCTAGCTATGTGACCTTGTCTTAATTAACTTTTCTGGTTGTGGAATAATTTCCTTATCTATAAAATAGGCAAATGTTGAGTATGGTAGCTCATATCTGTAATCTTAGTACTTGGGAGGCTGAAGCAGAAGGATTGCCACGAATTCCAGACCTGGACTACATAGTGAGACCTTGTCTCAAAAAAAGCAAATCAGTATATACATGTATGTATGATTTATGTATATCTATATGGTATGTGTTATGTAAATATGATATGTGTATTAGGGTTCTATAATGGAACAGAACGGATAGGGGACTTATTAAAGTGACTTACAGGCTATGGTCCGAGTAGTCCAACAATGGCTGTCTCTGATGGAAAGCAGGCATCCTGTAGTCATTCAGTCCATGAGACTGGATGTCTCAGCAGTCCCAATCTGGTGCTACAGTTCCAGAAGTTTCTTAGAGAGCTGCTACTCTTTGGTCTATTTTAGAGTCCCAAAGAAGTAGCTTCTAATATTAGTGAAGAAATGCCTCAGCAACAGGATGAACTTGTCAATAAGAATGAGAGGAAGCAGACAAACAAACAAACAAACCCAAAAGCTTCCTTCTTCTGTGGTGTCTTTTTGCTTGGGCTGCCACCACAAGGTGGCCTACATTTGGGGTGGGTCTTCCCACCTCAAATCATCCAATCAAGGAAGCTTCTCACAGGTGTGCCCAGCTGCTTGGGTTTCCCCTGATTCCAGATGTAGTCGATAGTCACAATTAACCATCACAATATGATGTGATACCTAATCTTACAGGATTGTAGAAGAGCTAGGTGCGATAGTCTAGTTAAATTATTAACACATAATAGGTGCCTGGTAAGTGTTAGTCCCTCTGTCAGCTAAGGCTTCCTGCCCCCCCCCCCACTCCATTGTTCTGGTTGAAAATTGTGTGGCTGCTAGGAGGGATGGATTATTTGTACTAGAAAGGAGTAGAGTCTCATTATCCTTCCTTTTCCTTTGTGCAGGCAGAAAAGGAAGGCTCTGTAGCCATGCAGTGTTCAGATTTGGCACATTTAACTCCTAAAAGGACAAGTGTTTTCTCCGGCAATTTGAACGCTGCTATGGGAAGTTGTGTGTTACCCTCTTCCCAGGTGCTTGGGGGTGCCACAGAAGACGGAGAGAATCAGAATCAGTTATTTGAACAACAAGCTCAAGCTGTAAGTACAGGTACATTTTAGTTTATATTTGTGATGTTTACCCTCAGTCCTGAGAGATGAGGAGCTGAGCTAACATACTGAATTTCACTTTTTTTCTTGTGTGTATGTGGTGTGTGTGTGTGTGTGTGTGCGCGCGCGTGTATGCGCGTGGGCTTGAGGTTACCATCAGTTGTCTTTCTCAGTCACTCTCGTGTTGTATATTGAGGCAGGGCCTCTCACTGAACCTGGTGCCCCATTCTCCGTCTCTGCCTCTCATAGGTTGGGTTTTATACATGAACCACAGCTCACCTGAATTTTTATGTGGGTCCTAGGTATTTGAACTCTGGTCTTCACAGTTGCACAGCAAGCTCTTTACCTGCTGAGCTGTCTTCCCAGCCCCAAGTTCACTTTTTATTGCCATTTTTTTTCATGGACTAGTATGATAGTGTATATTTATGGATTGATTGACTGGTTAGTTGATAATGCCTTGCTGTGTAGCCTATACTGTCCTCTTCCTTCTGTCTTCCAAGTGCTGGGGTTATACACATGAACCACCATAACTTCCTTATTTATAAATATCTTTTTTACATTCTTTTTTTGATAAGACGTTGTAAAACTATCTAAAGAAATGTATTGACAGTTTAGAATTCAAAATTATTAGAATCTTGAGTCAAAGAACATTGAATTTCCCAATTGTATTAAATTATGTTCTTTATATGCTATTGCCACTTAGTAGCTGTGGACAGAAATTATCTTAACCTTTGATGCTAAGGGATTCAATACAGTTAAAGAATATTTCATTTATTATTTTTGTTTATATTACTTTTCTCTTTTAAACTAATTATCACAATAAAATTATCTACTGCATGTCAGGCAATAATTATTAACATATCAGAATACTTGGAAAATTATTGACATATCAAAATACTTGGGAAAAATTATAGTGACTTTTTAATTGTATCTGATGCTTAAAATTGAAAGCATTGTGAGTAGCAGCCTACTCCCCATCCAATCACTTCCTTTCTTGGCTACCTGAGCTATTGTTGATGTGTTGTTTACCTCTACTTTAAGAATTATTCTTCATCGTATTTGAAAACACATATTTAGGGATAGTGAGAAGAAAAGAAAAGAAAAAAAATATGGTGGTAAATGATGACCACATGCAAAGAAAAGCCATTTTCCTCCTGAGTTAAGGTACTTTTCCGAGTCCTTATAGCTTCAGGAATTGACCTAACTGGTGCAGTAAGACAGATGCATGTACAGAAAAGCTAGGATCAAATGGGCTGGGTGCTCTGACGGAGAAGCTGCAGCACCCTCCCCCCAAGTTGAGCATATTTGCATATTTACTGTGGAGTTGAGCAGTAAGGCAGGTTATAACATACAGCTGGATCAAGGAAGCCGTGCTTATGGTGTGCAACTGGGTCAAGAAGGCATATTTAGCTAATCTCAGGAGCCATCTCTGCATGGGAATAGTCTTTGGACCAGGAGGAGAAAGCTATTTTCTGTACACATTACCAGCATCTGCACATGGAGTAGAGAAAGGACTTGCCACTCCTCTGAACCTCACCCAGGGAAGACTTTGCCACTTTCAAGGTATTGGGGTCCTTGACATGACTGTGTCCATGTCAACAACACATATTCACTCAGGATCTTACTCACACCCACAGTACTTGGTCATAATCAAATTGGGCTATATGTATAAAGGGAGCTTTACAAGGCATATGCTTCAAACTTTGTTTTGAAATTTCTTTTGCCTCAAACTTTTTTCTTTTTTGGGGGGCATTGTGTGATTTGTAGTAATCATTTTTATAATTATTTTATTTTTCTTTTTAAAGTTTATAAATAGGAGCCAGATGGAGTGATGCATGCTTACAATCTTAGCCTTCAGGAGTCAGATCAGGAAAATAGAAAGTTGGATGCTACATAGACTCTGCCTTAATAAAAAAGGAAAAAATGAAGAATTTATTAAACTAGACACTGGTTACATTATAAGAGATAGAAGAGTGAAGGACAGATCTAGTCTTTACCATCATGATTACAAATATAAATCTCATTGTAATAAGGATTTTTTTTCTGTAGAACACAGTGCATGGCTAGAACACATCAGTCAGCATGTAAGTGAACACATTATGTTTGTTAAGTGTTGTGGGGGGTTCTAATATGTGAAATAGAACCCTCTATGGGTTGACATTTCCAGGAAGATATACTGTAGTCTCTTATACCCCAAGTCTAGTAAGTAATATAGACATATTTGATATACTTGACCAAAAAAGTTATGCCATGGGAATTCCAACTCTTAAAATTCTAGGGAAATAACAGAGAGAGAGAGAGAAGAGAGAGAATTCATGCAAGAGATGGAATTGAACTGTTTATTTTGAATTGGTATGCTGAAATCCAGAGACTTTTTGAGAAAGGAACAGTGAAAAGTGTAGGATCTGTAATATGCTTGATATGTTCTAGAATAAGTAATGAAGTCTTTCTAGTTGGTAGTTAATAAAGGAAAATAACAGAAATGAGGTGAGGCAAGAAATCAGGTTATAAAGAGCCTTTGTATTATGAAAGTTTAAAAGTTTGTATATCTTTTCATTCTTTTTCCTTGAAAAAAGGTGACTTAGTAAAGGATGTTTGGTGATTTGGTCCTGTAAACTTTTACCCACACAGCCCTATGACTACAGTTGTTTTTATTCTTACTGTTTCTATTGCACTTTTAATCCACTAGATGTCATTATGAAACCAGACAATGAAATTGTTGAAGCATTAACTCCTTTACTTTACCTAGAACTGATTAGATACTGTCATCATAATGTAGCTTCTGAGTGTTAGTGAACTTTTCAGTTTTTGTTTCTTTAAATTGAAGAAAAATAGAATCCTGGGGTTGGGATTTTCACTTGATTTACCTATTTTATTATTTTATGTGATTGGGCATTTTGCCTGTATGTTTATCTCTGTGCACCATGTGTGCAATGTTTGCAGAAGCCAGAAGAGGGCATTGGACCCCTGGAACTGGGGTTACAGAAGGTTGTGAGCTGGTGCTCAAACTTTGGAAGAATAGTCGGTGCTCTTAACTGCTGAGCTGTCTCTCCAGCCCTTACATTGGTTGCGTTGTTTTGTTTTGTTTGTTCTCAAGACAAGGATTCTCTGTGAAACAGCCTTGGCTGTCACAGAGAGCTGATTGCCTCTGCTCCAAGTCCTGGGATTAAAGGTGTGTGCTTACTACACCTGGCTGGCAGTAGGTTTTTAAAGTTCGTTGATGTTGACACATTTAAGGATGAAATAATTTGACATCTGGAATATGCTTAATAATATAAGGATCAGCTAGTGTCTTAATTACTTTGCCGTTGCCATGCTAAAATACCTTGATAAAGGCAACTTAAGGGAGAAGGCTGGTTTTGGCTTGGAGCTCCAGGGGCATGCAATCCATTGTGGCTGGGAAGACAAGGCAGCCGGAAAGAAAGGCGTGGTAGTGGGAGCAGGAGGCTGGCTGGACATACTAGGTCTGCACTCAAAAGCAGAGTCTGCAGGAAGTGCAGCCGTGCTATAAAGCCTCGGAGCTCAACCCAGTGACCTGCTTCCTCCATCTCCCAAAGTTCCACAACTTTCTCAAACAGCACCTCCAGGTCAGGATCAAGGGTTGAAACATGTGAGCCTGTGTGGGATGTTTGACATTCAAACCACAGGATGCAGAGAGTTATAGGTAAGGCAGGTTTGTCCAGGAGTTAATGCTGTTGGGTTATTTGGTTGAATTTTAGGTACTTAACTATATTTCCCTTTAAAAAAAATTAGGAGTAGGCTGGAGAGATGGTTCATAGATTTAGAGCACTGGTAAGGACCCAGATTCAATTCCCAGCATCCACATGGCAGCTTACAACTATCTGTGACTCGGGTTCCAGAAAATCTAATGCTCTCTGACTGCACTCATATGGTTAACAGACATACATTAAATATAATGTCCAAATTCATAAAATTAAAATTAATCTAAAAACAAAACCCCACAAACACATTAAATAAATATTTCAAAAAAAATTAAAGATGTAATAAATTAACATTTTTGAGGGCCCAGTGATTCAGTGGGGGAAGGCACTTGCTGCCCAGCCTAGTGATCTGAGTTCAATCTCAAGGACCCACATAGTGAAAGGAGGAAACCAACTGTGCAGATTGTCTTCCGGCCTCTGAATTTCAGCTGTGACTTGGGACGCTGCTGTGTGTTTCAACAGGTGAAGGTGCTTGCCACCAAGCCTCAAGACCTGAGTTTGGTATCTGGGACCCACATGGTGGAAAGGGAGAACCGACTCCCACAAGCTGTCCTCAGCCCTCCACATTTTCTCATTCTCTCTCTCTCTCTCTCTCTCTCTCTCTCTCTCTCTCTCTCTCTCTAGGGAGAACCGACTCCCACAAGCTGTCCTCAGCCCTCCACATTTTCTCATTCTCTCTCTCTCTCTCTCTCTCTCTCTCTCTCTCTCTCTCTCTCTCTCTCTCTCTCTCTCTCTCTCTCTCTCTTACTCACACTCACACACACACACACGTAAAATAAACAAATAAACAAACTGTAGTTAAATAAAAATGTGATTTGGCTCATTTTTCTCTTTGTGTCTCTACCCAGCCTCCTACCTAGTAGCCCTTGATAGTCCCTACCTGCTGAAAGGACAAATATGAAGGGGAACCTAAACTAAGGAGCTAGAGCTACCGAGCAGGAAGAAGTTTCAGGTGGCCACAGCCTGTTGTTAGTGTGTTAAGGGTTTGGTTTGTTTTCTGTGGCATCTCTTGGCTATTTCATTAGATTTCATCTTAAAAAATCTTAATGTGTTCTCATTCTCACCATATAACACATTCGTCTTTAGACCAGCAGTTTATCACTGTTCCTTTTAAGACTAGCATGGTTTAATTTTAGCTTTCTGTTTTTCACTGAATATTTTGCTATCTTGGTTTTTAAAAATAACCTTTTAGTTAACATACAAAATAAGTAATCTCGTTATGGGATTTTATGTATATCATTATACCTTGCTCTTAATTGCCCTCTCCCC